CAGATTATATATTGCTCAGCCATGGTAAATAAACCGTCTTATCCGAGACTCGAACCCAGGATCTATTCAACACATTGATACCCGTGTTAACCGTTGAGCCATCTGTACAAAACCCAATATATGACTTTGGATTGTCAACTCAACACCCTCTCTCAATTCAAAGTCACCATACCACAAAGCTTTCTTAGCTCTATGAATTGAGGAGCAGCAAGACCTTTAGTGAACATGTCAGCAACCATGATTCCAGTATTAAGGTATTGCAAATCAATTGTCCCAGATCCAATGTGATCCCTGATGAAATGAGTCCTGATATCAATATGTTTGGTACGGTGATGGAAAGCTGGATGTTTGGCCATTTCAATACACCCCTGGTTATCATCATAAATCTTCACTGCACCAGTGTTAAGGCCAAACTGTTCAAAGACCTGTTTCAACCACAATGCATCTTTCACACCTTCGCTAAGAGACATATATTCTGCTTCAGCTGTAGAAAGAGCAACCGTTGCTTGTTTCTTGGACCTCCATGTTATTGCACCATTGGCATATTTGAACACAAACCCAGTAGTAGACTTTCTGTCTGACTTATCTCCAGCCCAGTCAGCATCACAATATCCAACTAGTTCACCATCTCCTTTATCTCCAGCCTCATATCTTATACCTAATTCTTTTGTACCTTTCAAATATCTCAACACTCTTTTAGCTGCCTTGTAATGGACCTCCTTTGGCTCCTTGAGATATCTTGATAAAACACCGACGATATAACTAATATCGCTCCTAACAGTATTGGCAGCAAACAACAATTTTCCAACTAAAGATCTATAGGCTGTAGCATCACATGGTTCAGCATTGGCATCCACCAACGTAAGTTCTTGGCCAGAAATTGTAGGCGTCTTATCGTGGTTGCAATTCTCCATTCCAAATTCCTTCAACATGGAACCAATGTAGTCCTTCAAACTCATGTTGATACCACCGCCATCTTGAGAAATATTCATGCCTAAAAATTTCTTGACAACTCCCAAGTCTTTCATCTTGAAAACATTCATCAATTCAGATTTGACTTTTCCAATAGCAAAATCTGAGGTACCAGCTATCAATAAGTCGTCAACATAGAGAGCAACCATCACAAATGATTTTTCCGATTTCCTTGAGTACAAACAATACTCAGCACCGTTTCTAACAAAACCAAGAGACGACAATACACTGTGGATTCTCTCATTCCACACCAAGGGAGCTTGCTTCAATCCATATAAGCTTTTCTTCAATCTCAAAACCATTGTTTCTTTTCCCTTAACCACATACCCTTCCGGCTGTGTCATGTATAATTCTTCTTGAAGAAACCCATTGAGAAAAGCTGTCTTAACATCCATCTGATGAACTGCCATTCCATTCTTGGCAGCGATACTCAACATCAACCTGATAGATTCATAACGCACCACAGGTGAGAATGTCTCATTGTAGTCAATACCCTTCACCTGTGTGAATCCTCGAGCAACAAGTCTTCCCTTGAAGACTCCATTATCTTTCTTTGCAAAGACCCAACGACATGTAATTGGCTTTCTTCCTTTCGGCAACTTGACCAATTCATAAGTGGAGTTCTCCTTGTGAGCAGCTATTTCTTCGTCACAAGCGCGCTTCCATTCCACTCTTTCATCGCTCTTCATAGCTTCCTTGTAGTTTCCAGGAACATCAGTTCCTCCAGATATAGCGTCAGCTTCACCAGCCATGAAGCATGTAGCAACGTAATTCACAGGTTTGTATTCTAACAACTTGCTTTTGGTATCATCATTCAGTTCTGATTCTTCATCACAATCACTTGGCTCTTCAATATGAGGCTCAATTTTCGAAACCACCAAGTCATCATTGCTACTGCCATTTGGAACAAACGAAGTCAACTCTTCTGAATTTCTTGTATTCCTGAACTTCTTTCTTTGTGGTTTCTCAGTAACACTTTCCCTCTCTGAATCTGAGCTGAATGTGTCAGGCTGTTCTTCTATTTCAGCCAAAATACCAAATGGGTTTCTCTTAATTATACCCCTGGTTTCCTTGACTCTAGAACCTGATGATCTTTTTCTTTTCGTAGCAGTAACCAACTGAAAAGCATCATCATAAACTTTTGAGGGAATCAATTCTCCGTCCCCATACTCCTTGGTTTCAACCATAGTCATTTCAACATCCTTGGTAGACCCATCTCTTTCAGCTGGAGCTTCTTCACCAAACTCACTCATATCCGATACCATACTTTCATCATCAACTGAGATCCGAGACGCGGTTTCATCTTCATGGTATCCTGAACTATTCACCCTGCTGATATCAACATGAACCAATTTCTCATCCGTAATAATTGGAGCAGCAGATATTCCACCAACACGACCGCCGCCACCACCGCCTCCGCCAGAAACTCTATTCTCTTCTCCTGGTATAGCAGTGGAAGACACTTTCACATCTTGATAATAATACCTTGACTCATCGAAGTTCACTTGGGCAGCCGTAACAACTCTATTTGCTTCGGGATCAAACATCCTATAAGCACACCGATTTCTATCATACCCAAGCATAACACACATTTTCGAAGTAGCACCAAGTTTCCCATATCTCAATTTATGGGGAACAACAACATATCCAATACAACCAAAACAACGAAGATGATCAAGTCCTGGATTATAACCAAACCAACGACGATACGGAGTCTGAAAACCAATCACTCGGGATGGTGTTCTGTTGGTCAAATAAGCAGCAGTACGAACTGCCTCTGGCCAAAATTGCGCAGGCATGGATGCCCCAATCATCAAAGATCTTGTTTTATCTTGAATGGTCCGATTCATTCTTTCAGCAACACCATTCTGATAACTATGGTGTGGCACCGTCAACTCATGAGCAATTCCTTTTCGTCGCAAGAACGCGTGCAATTGGCCTGTAATGAATTCTCCACCATTATCAGTTCTTATGGTTCCAACTCTAAAGTCTTTTCCTTGTGACTTGAACATTGTCTCAGAGTAGTTTATGAAGTCAATAATCTGAGCCGTGCACTCGGACTTTTGAGTTAAGCATCGAGTTTCCACATACTTGGCATATCCATCTACTATCGTAAGAAAGTAGGCACTCGAATCAATCGAGCCATAGCTAAAAGGACCACAAACATCCATATGCAACAATTCCAATGGTCTCTTAGGTTTAGAACCATGACCCAACTTTGGTTTTTGGACTGTTCCTTTAGCAGCAAGGCAACAGTCGCATCGAATAACAGCATTGTCACCCAAGATTTTCCCTTTAACAAGCTTAAACATTTTGTTAGCTTTCTGTAAAATATTAGCACTTGGGTGTCCGAGTCTTTGGTGCCAGAGACCACCCTTATCAATACTGTTAAAAGCAACACCATTAGCATCAGTAGATAATCTGTAAAGCCCATTCATCAGAGGATCCTTGGTACCAATAACCTTCATTTCCGGATACATTTTCACTTTGTTTCCTTCAAACAATAATTTCGCACCATTCAGAGTAGCCTTGGAAACTGAAATCAAGTTGGCTTTTGAGTCTGGAACATAATAAGCATCTTTGATTTCAATATTGGTATTATCACGTAATTTGAACTCCGCAGACCCAATACCTGCAACAGCAACACCACCGCCATCAATCCCGGAGATCTCTCCTCCAAACGGTCTGATCGTCTTGAACAAGCTCTTATTGTTTAAGATATGTTGCGAGGCACCTGAATCAAAATACACCCTGGAGTTGTTACCATGCATTCCCATAAATGCATACCACGATGGTGATGGGTTTCTACCATCTCCAATCAACTTTTGTGCCTTTGGTGATTTGCAGTCTCTTTTAAAATGACCAGGCTTTCCACAATTGAAACATCTATATTGTTTCTTAACTGCAAACACCGGCTCAGTGTTATCAACATTAGCAGACCCAATAGATTTATCTCCAATAATCTCTCTTGTTAAATCTTGAACAAGACCGAGATCAACATTACCAACTGTTCTGCCGTTTCTAGATTCATACGCAGTCATGACTTCTCTAGAAAGGCTGTTACCAAATCCAGCCTTTTGACCTAAGCCCAAAAATAACGCACAAAGGACCGTGGTTCCGTCCATCTTACCAACCGTGTTTTTAAAATGATTAAAAGCATCAATAAAGTGTTCCACTTTTCCTTCTTTAGTTTTCAACCATTTGTTGTCCATTAAATCACAAATAATTCCCACAGCATTGGTAACAGTCAAAGTACCATAGGCCTCCTTGAGAAACATAAACAAGTTTCTGCCGGTACCATCGAATTCCGAGGCCTTAGTTAACGCAGCGCCTGTGATACTATTGAAAACAACTGTAGAAATAATTTCATCCATAGCAGCAACCAATTGCGCAACTTCGTTGAGGTCTTCCAGACCATCAGTTCCAGTTTCCCCATTGATCAAATAAGCATATAACCCAAGACCTTTCATCTTCATCTTGACACTGATCAATGTAAACCAATCATAGAAGTTTGATGAACCTTTCAACTTTTCATCAGCAGCAAACGAAGTAAGAGCATTTGAACTCATAACCTGTTGAAGTTTTGTAACCCTAGTTACAGTAGTCATTACCAATAACAAATACTATCAAACTATCCTTGTTATTATTCTTATTCTTCTTAACTAACTAACTATTTAAATAACAAAATATAAACTTAAACTATGGGGAGAGGCCCCATATTTATAATAAGACCAATATATATGATTTGTAATCATACATCCATCTAGAACATTCTAGATGATTAATCATATGCACAATGACTAATTATTAGGCTGAGTCATAATCACATGCAGATTATATATTGCTCAGCCATGGTAAATAAACCGTCTTATCCGAGACTCGAACCCAGGATCTATTCAACACATTGATACCCGTGTTAACCGTTGAGCCATCTGTACAAAACCCAATATATGACTTTGGATTGTCAACTCAACAGTAATAGGGGTAGGAACAGAGGTAGGGACAGAAGCAGGGACAGAATCAGGGACAGAAGCAGGGGCAGAAGCAGGGGCAGAAGCAGGGATAGAAGAAGTGGCCAGAGCCGAGGAAGTGACAGTATCACGGGCAGGGGTAGGTGAAGGAGGAATGTTGGCAGCAGAAGAAGTAGTATGATGTTGTGAGTTTACTTCTTGATGTCTGCGAGAAACACGGACCTGAGGGTGGGATGAAGGTGAGGCGAGGATCTTTTTGGAGACCTTGCTAATATGGGCCAGCTTGATGGCGCTAATGGCCGCGAACTTGGCGTGCTTCTTAGATTTACCTTTCTTGGACAATAATTCTATTGGTTTGGTTTGATGTCTGAGAGTAGCAGTGTGTTGGGTTGTAGAGGTTTCGAGTTCGTCCATGGATTGGTCTGCATCAGTAGAGAGGCCTTCCTCTAAAGCATCTTCCTCATTGGATGGGTAGTTCTTTTCCAAAGTATCGTCCTCATCAATAATTGAATCATCAACATTTTCTTCTTCATTTGCCAATAAGTCGAAAGGGTTTGAATGTGGTTTAGAATATTCTGGAGTAGCCGGTTTATTCAGTTTTATTTTTCTTTTTTCGACAGTCTGAAAACCATAGTTTAATTTGTGGTTTGGTTTGACTGCTTTTCCAGAATTTTGTTTCGGAGAGTGTTTTTCTGGATCTTCCGGATTCACAATAGGTGCTCTTTGTTGCTTTTTGAAATAACAATCTTTTGCCCTATGGGATAATTTCTTGCAAATGGCACAAGATGACGTCTTGCAGTCAAAACGAGTGTGTTCACGGGAACCACATGCAGTGCAGTGGACGCATTTCGTGATGACTCTGGAGCGGAAATTTTTGTCATTGAAGAGTGGAAGGGATTTTCCTGAGTCAATTTCAATATAACCATAAGTGACAATACTGGCAGCTTTGCTAGCTTCTTCCGTAAAGTGAACGGTGTTGATTGGAAAGAAGGATGATGGATCAATTCCGGATTCATTGAAGACATGGTCAAGAAGTTTTTCCCGGTTAAATTCAGTAAACTCGGAATTCATTTCAATCTCAATTAAATGGGATTCCTTATTCATTGTGTTTAACAAAGACCCTGGCGTGTAGGTATAATTTCCAACTGTAACTTTAAGGTGGATGTTAAGATATTCAATTAAAAGATTTCTGTCCTTCTTGAAGATATCAGAGCCTGTATCCTGAGGGTTTGGGATGAAGTTTGAGTTAAGGCAGATCTTCTTATTAAAAATAACCAAGTGGTTGGGGGCCCCTTTTAAGTTTTCCCTGATTATGATCAAATCCTTATCTGGTTCATTGGATGACTGTGTAATAGTATCAAGTTCTTTGGATAACTTAGTGAGTCCGTTTTTGATGGATTCCAAGTGCTTTTCAAGAGGAAACTCTGTAAAGATATCTTTTGGGATCTTAAAGTAGATTAAGATATCCTTAAGATGCTGTTGGCTCATGATAAATTCCAAGTAGTTCTCCAAGCTGATTCTAGAGTTTCTCAATCTGTTGAATTCGTTTGTCATATTAAAACTGGTGTAATTTTGGAAGAAATCTTCAATTTCCATGATCTTGACGAGTTCCTCGCGTTTTTCTTTGGATTTAATAATAGCAGGATTGGAGGTGGAGAACAATTTTCCTGATTTGCGTTTCTCGCTTATGGCATATTCCAATACGTCGCGGTGCTTAAAGTCAAGGATTTTGATGTGACTTGCCCATTTGAAAGTTCTTTCAAATTTCATCAACACGTTTTGGAAGGATGGATCATTGGTGTTTGTAGTGACTCGAGGTGTGCGCTTGTCTCCAGCGGTGGCTTGAGCATAGGTTTGGATTGGTCTTGTCACATTGACAGCTGGAGCCACCGGATTGGAGGCCGTAGTTGGAGAGGCGACAGTAGAAGATGAAACAGAGGGAACAGGAACAGAAGGAACAGAAACAGAAGGAACAGAAACAGAATTTTTTTTTGGGTTTTGAGAATTTTCGATTTTTTTTTGGTTTTCGGAGTTTTCATTAATAAAATCAGTAGAAATAACGGCTTGGGTTGGAATAACAGGATTATGCATGTCAATGTCAGTGTCACATGCTGCATGAGAATTGCGATCGCAATCAACTGAAGAAACATTAATTGCTGGAGAGGTAGTTGGGGTAGAAATGGCGTTGGAATCCATGTTTTGGTCCGCTTCAGGATCTTCTGAAGCAGTTAAAAAGGTTTCAACAGTACTATTAATAGTATTGTCGGCTGCATCAGTAATTTCTTCATCGGAATCTTGATCTTTAGCTTGTTTGTTTATGTTTGCTATCGGGATCGGGGTTTCAGATGTTGCGCCAACATCCAATGAAGAGCCCAAAGAAACCGGGGTTTCAATGATTGGGGGATCATTAGTAGGGTCGGTGGAGTAGTTTGGAGTAGCTTTATTACTATTTCTAGTGGTTCTCATGATAAAATCAGTTTTTATTTATTGCTTTTTTTTTTTTCCTTTTGGACCGTTTTTTTTTTTAAAGACAAAATTCAATATATTAATTAATTATATAACTATATATCTCATAAACTACTTAATGTAGTTTGAAAATTAAAGTGTTAAGGGAAAACCATTAATGGTGAAAAACCCTATTATTGAGAAAAAATGTTTTTATGCGTTTTTAAGGTTTTTAATTGTTGTTTTTTTTTTGATTTTATTTTTTTTTTTGATTTTATTTTCTTGTTTTTCCCCACCTATTTTTTCTTCTCCGCTTAAAAGATATTGCTTTCAAGCAAGAAGATCATTGAATCAACCGTTGGTAACCAGGACTCAACCCAGCCATGATCCAATAATATAACATAAACATCACGTTGCGTGGATGGTTTAGTGGTAAAATTCAACTTTGCCATAGTTGAGCCCCGGGTTCGATTCCCGGTCTACGCATTACAACTTTTTAGCACTTATTTTAAAGTTAATTTGCTTATTTTTTTAAGAACCAACAACTGGAAGCTGTTGTTTTTCACTAATAATCAAGCTTGCTTTTTAATTCATGTAAATAGGTTAAGACTCAGGAGAAGCTAGCACCCGAAAATGTTTGCTTATCACCGCTGGAATGTAATTCTATTGTTAGAATTCTACAGGTCTGCAAAGTACTTCAATATATATAAAGACGAAACAAACGCACTCATGTATAATAACAAACACTTTAGATAATAAAGTTAAGTATAAGGACAGTAGTAAGGGCAAACAGCACGACAGCTAGCAACCTTAAACCAATAATGACTGTAAATATAATCTTGATAGCAACGACTATAATATTTATTAGTAGAGATCTAATGATCTGGTTCCTAGTATATGACCTACAGACCCCTTGATTGTAAGATCTCGAACTTGTGACAACAGAGCGCACTTTTATCAGAAGAGGTAATTATTGTACTTAGGTGTCCGGCGTTTTTCTTGTCGGAAAAACATCGCTCCACCATAGTACACAAAATTACATGAAGTACCCTTAAGTTAAGTGATATATAAAAACGAACTATTGGAGGTTGTACTTTACTTAAAGCTACATTGCAACACTAATTTATTTTAAATGCCCCCATTATTGTCAATTGAACAAAAAAGAAGCCAACATTGACTCTACAGCTTTTCGAAAAAAATGCGAATTCTGTGGATCGAACACAGGACCTTTAGATTACAAGACTCAGATAAACCTCGCGGTAAATACTTCAGTCTAACGCTCTCCCAACTGAGCTAAATCCGCCAAAACAAGTTTCCGATACCGGGAGTCGAACCCGGGTTTGCTCGGTGAAAGCGAACCGTGCTAGCCGTTACACTATATCGGAAGAGTACGGTTGTTGTTATATTATTGGATCATGGTTGGGTTGAGTCCTGGTTACCAACGGTATGGTACCATACGAAACCATGATCTGCATTACCTCATCGAGGTATCACTTTATGTCCCACCGCTTATCTCTTATCCTTGTCGTATCGCCTTATGTTTAGCCTTTTATTCCCAGAACGGGTCCAACACCCCATTATTAGTTTCAATCATTTTATTTATTTAAGGATTCAACATTCCTCTTGTTTTCACCTTTATTTAGTTTAAGAGAAGGATCATCTTTGTGATCACCTAATTTGAATCTTCTTGGTCGAGAACAATCATCGACAAGAAGCAGAGTGTAACATTTGGTAGCACCACTAGGTTTAAAATGAATAACGCGGAACGCGAAAAGTTGTTGTTGAACAACATGCCGGTCTACGACGGATCCGACGACCTATCATTGATTCTCTCTTGGATGGATCACTTTAAGATTATTATGCCCAAACTATCCGGATCCCGAGAGGAAAAACTCCTTTTGATTTCGGTGAAACTCCGGGGGGATGCGATGACCTGGTATGCGAAGTTTTTAGCCACGGCTGACGAAAAGTCAACCGACTCCGATCTCAGTGACATGCTCACCAGTTTCAGAGCCTACTTTTTACCTGCAAACTTCCAGCAGATGCTTCTCAATCAACTCGCAGAATTGTCACAAACCACGTCCGTCAACGCCTACAATCGGAGCTTCGACCGTTTGGTTAATCAATTAGACAACCCAAACCCCGCCCATCTCTTGGCCACCTACATACAGGGGCTCAAGAGAGACATGAGAATTCATGTTGTCGCTAAGGAGCCCCGCGGTTTTATAGAGGCTCAACGTTATGCTGACATCCTCGATATGGCTTCTTTCGGCGCGCCCTTGGCGATGAAGGTTTTTGCTGGTACTCGGACCCAACCATCATACCGATCAAGCATGAGGGAGACCCCTCCGAAGAGGACCCGTATCAACGCATTACCTCAATCTCAAGGACCTAGGGGTCCAAGAGGCCCAAGAAGGGTTTTGCGCTGCTACTTATGTCAGGAGGAAGGACACATGGTCCATCAGTGCTCAAAACTTCGTGATGCTCAAGCCGCCATTAAATCTGCAGACTTAAGGGACGAAGAACCTTTCCAAGATATTGCCATGGTTGAAGGGCCAAAAAACTGGTAAGCCGACACAACCCAGAGCCCGTTGTGTTGGCTAGTATTACCACTACTGCTGACCCTCTCAACCTACCCCTCATTACTATGAATGTTAAGGTAGGTTCAATCAATGTAACCGCCCTATTAGACTGTGGCGCAACTGCTAATTACATTAAAAAGAGCACCATGGAAAAGTTAGGACTACAAGAAATTCCGTTAAAGAGAAGTCGTCGGGTGTTTGACGCCTTTGGGAAGCCACATGAACGGTTGGCTTATTGGTCCAATGTTGACATGTGTATATCACGCAATACATGTCAGATCGATTACAACTTCAGAGGGTTCGTCACCCAGAACGTAGATCAGGAAGTCATTTTAGGACTCCCTTTTTTTATACAATTTTATCAGGAATTGTTACCATTATTTCAAGAAATTAAAGAGAACAAAAATCAAACCAATAACCTGCTTACTCTAAATCTCCTATCAGCTGAGGAGACTAACCGGCTCTTAAAGAGTAAGTCAACTGAATGTTATTTGGCTTTGGTCAAAATGGTCGCGGATGACCACGTGACTACAGAACAAGAAAAAGTTCGAACTACAAAAGAAGAAGAAATTTTTAAACAATATGCAGACGTTTTCCAATTGAAGTTACCAGAAGGAGGATCTAACTTCACCAGAGTCAAACACGAGATACATGTGTTGAGCGACTCCAAGGCACCATTCAAAGCTCCATACCGACTCTCACCTCAAGATCGAGCCGAGCTCAAGACGCAGATTAATGAACTACTCCGGCAAAAGTTAATATTTCCGGTTGCGTCTCCTTATGGAGCCCCAGTGCTTTTTGTTAAGAAGAAGGACGGAACGAAACGGCTCTGTGTGGATTACCGAGGCTTAAATGAGATAACTATCAAGTCAAGATTTCCACTACCAAGAATAGATGACCTACTCGACCTCATCAAGAACGCCAAAATATTTTCCAAGCTTGATTTGGTTTCCGGTTATCATCAAATCGCCATCAGCCCAGCTGATCGGCACAAAACCGCCATGGTCACGCCGTTTGGCCAATACGGTTGGAATTGTATGCCGTTTGGCCTCACGAATGCTCCTGCCACGTTCCAACTGGCTATGAATGAATTACTTTTACCGCTTGAAGAATTTTGCGTCGTCTACTTAGACGACGTATTGATTTTCAGCACAAGTGAGGCCGAGCATCGTAAGCATATTGATGTTGTGATATCTACCCTCCAAAAAGCTGGTTTAATTATTAGCAAACGCAAATCAGAATTCTTTTTGGCTAAAGTCTCGTTCCTTGGTTACCAGATCGATGCCGCCGGTGTTCATGTGGAGCCTGGGAAAATTGAAGCTATCCAACGATTTACGGTATCCACCCCGGAAGAAGCTCATTCTTTTATAGGATTAGCCAGTTATTACCGCCGTTTTATTGAGCACTTTGCCGAATTAGCCCGCCCTGTCCATCAATGTGTCAACGGGAAGATAGAATACAGTGACGAGGTAAAGAACGCGGTTGGCGAGTTAAAGCGGAAATTGATTTCTGCTCCGGTCCTTATGAATTTCGACAGTACCAAGCCACTCCGAGTCACAACCGACGCCTCTGGTTTTACTTTAGGCGCCGTGTTGGAACATGTGGCCCCGAATGGAAAAACAGAGGGTGTGGTGGCCTACTTTTCGAAGGGCCTTATCGGGGCTCAACTTAGGTACCCAGTCAGGGAGAAGGAACTTTTAGCCATCATTGAGTCATTGAAGAAGTGGCGTCACTACCTCGTCG